TATATATATAGTCAGCAAATCAACACTGAGCATCAAATAACACAAAACAGACCAACTATTAAGAGTTATTTATGATAACTGCAAGTGCACAAGTTCATTTCAACGTTCATTTTGGTTTTTATCTGAGTTTCAGGAGTGTGAGAGAAGTTCTCTGGCATGAAAACTGAAGAGGGGAGAATTACATTTGATCTTTTTCTGCTGACTTCAGCAGGTTTTTAAATCCCACAATAAAAACATCATGGTCAGGAGCTGATAATGACAGCAATACTCAACTTGATATTTCAGTTTCTCCTGCAACATTATGGACCGACTAAGCAAAAGTGGATAATATTAACCCGACTGGCACATTTCTGGCACTGGTATTAGCATGCACTTACTATCTGCAGCTTGGTGAGTTTCCCAATGTCAGCAGGAAGAACCTCAAAGTCATTGTCACTCAAATACAGAGCTCGAAGTGTGGCTGCAAACAAACAAAGATTTAATTAATTAGAGGATGATCTTATTGTGATATGGCCATTTATTTATTTACTGAGACACACCCCACATGGCAGGTAATGTTCCCACATTTAAACTGTTTTTTAACTTGTATCAGGCTCTGTTCAGACCTGGCACTAACATCCAGTATACTGCCAGGTGCTGGACTGGTGATGATGGTGATGATAATGTTAGCCTACTGCCCAACTGTAACCCACACAGAGCAATCAGAAGGAAATCCCATTTCTGAGCTTCGCAACCAGCAGTTCCTGCAGCAATATTGCTGCGAGGACTTCATTTGACATTAGACCACACTTGTGAGGACATTTGGCCTGGTTCACACAAGGGAAAAACATCATCTGTGGGTCTGGGGTAAGGTGTGTGTGTGTGTGTGTAGATGGGTTTTTCCCACAATGTGGGGAAAAAATTTCCCAAAATAATCAGCCTCATGTGGACCAATACCTGGTCCCCATGGGTCCAAATGCAAATTACGGGTGTGAGATTAGGTTTAAGGCCAAGGATTATGTTAGTTTTAGGGTCAGGTAGGTACCTGTGAGGTTAATTTTAGAGTATATGCTCAGGGTTAGGATATAAAGTCTAAAAAAAAAAAAGAATGAAAGTCAATGGAAGGTCCCCATGGGGTTCAAGAACAAACGTGTGTGTGTGTGTTTGTAGGTACTGGGTCTCACTCAGGTAAAAGAAGTTTCCAGGCAGGGACTCCTGGTTTAGGTTGTTGTAGGTCAGGTCCAGGACCTCCAGAGCAGGCAACGACCCAAATCCTCTGGGCAAGCTGTTTAGACGGTTCATTCTGTGCTCCCAAGAAACACACACACACACACACACACACACACACACACACACACACACACACACACACACACACACACACACAC